TGCCACCGGCCTCTAAAGCTCTCCCAATAACCATTCCGAGCGAGAAGCCGCTACCATGTGTTTTGCAGGCACCGGAGGTGGAATTAAAACCACTCCCTGAAAATATGAAGCATGTTTTCTCGGGTGAAAATCACACTCTACCAGTGATTATCTCAAAGGCCCTAACCCGAGAACAAGAGGAGAGATTAATTGCGGTCCTCAAAGAATGCAAATTGGCCATTTGATGGTCTATTGCCGACATCAAAGGCATTAGCCCATCCACATGCATGCACCGGATCTTGCTTGAAGATGAGGCCAAAGCGGTGAGACAACCGCAACGAAGATTGAATCCACCCATGATGGAGGTGGTAAAAAAAGAAGTGATCAAGCTGCTACAAATGGGAATCATCTTTCCCATTTCCGATAGCAAGTGGGTGAGTCCTACTCAAGTGGTTCCAAAGAAGACCGGAGTGACGGTCATTGAGAACAAAGAAGGTGAGATGGTGCCCACCCGAGTTCAAAATGGGTGGCGAGTTTGTATTGACTACCGAAGGCTCAATTCGGTAACTAGAAAAGACTTCTTTCCATTGCCTTTCATTGATCAAATGCTAGAGAGGTTAGTCGGCCATAAGTTCTATTGTTTTCTTGATGGTTAGTCCGGGTATTTCCAAATACCAATAGCCCTGGAGGACCAAGAGAAAACAACCTACACATGTCCATTTGGCACTTTTGCCTACCGACGAATGCCCTTCAAATTATGCAACGCACCGGGCACTTTTCAAAGGTGCATGATGAGTATCTTTTCAGAATTTGTGGAGGTATTCATGGAAGTCTTTATGGATGATTTCACAATCCATGGGGACTCTTTTGACACTTGCCTCTATCATCTGACTCTTGTGCTAAAAAGTTGTATTGAATCCAACCTTGTTCTAAATTCTGAAAAATGCCACTTTATGGTAGAACAAGGGATTGTTCTTGGGCATGTGATCTCATCAAAGGGGATTGAAGTAGACGAAGCAAAGATTGATGTAATTCAAACACTCCCATACCCCACAAATGTATGAGATATCCGCTCTTTCCTTGGTCACGCCGGATTCTATAGAGGATTCATAAAAAACTTCTCCAAATTTTCATCTCCTCTATGCAAACTTTTGCAAAAGGAGGTGGAATTTGATCTAAATGATGAATGCAAGGAAGCTTTCGATACTTTGAAATCAAGATTGGTGACTGCCCCAATCATACAAGCTCCCGATTGGTCTCTTCATTTTGAGATCATGTGCGACGCAAGTGACTATGTTGTACGGGCTGTTCTAGGCCAAAAGATCAGGAGGGCTGCTCATGTTATCTACTACGCCTCCTCTACTCTCAATGAAGCACAAAAGAACTACTCCACCACCGAGAAGAAAATGCTAGCGGTGGTCTTTGCTTTGGAGAAATTTTGGTCCAACCTTCTTGGAATGAAAGTTATTGTTTACACCGACCATGCCGCTCTCCGATTCCTGATGACAAAGAAGGAGGCCAAACCAAGACTCATTCGATGGGTCCTTCTATTGAGCGAGTTTGACATAGAAATCAAAGACAAGAAAGGAGCAGAGAACTTGGTGGCCGATCATCTAAGTCGTTTGGTTCCAAATAAAGAAATCAAAGGTCTCCATACAAATCTCATAAAAGGCGAATTTCCGGACGAGACTCTCTTATCCATCAAAGTCATACAACCATGGTACACAAATATTGTAAACTTTCTTGTTTCCGGCAAATTTCCTCCACAACTCTCAAAATCTCAAAAAGAAAAATTGAGAATGGATTCAAGACTCTATGTTTGGGATGACCCATATTTGTGGAAACATTGTAAGGATCAAATAATCTGAAGATGCATCCCCGAATATGAGATAGCCCATATCATAGAAATTTGCCATTCTTATGCTTGTGGAAGATATTTCGGTCCGAAACGGACGTCGATGAAGATACTTGAAAGTGGTTTTCGGTGGCCGAGTCTTTTTCGTGATGCAAATGGTTTTTGTCAATCTTGTGACAATTGCCAAAGAGCGGGGAACATTTCTAGAAGAAACAAGATGCCACAAAACCCCATGCATTTCTGTGAGATTTTCGATGCATGGGGTATTGACTTCATGGAACCTTTCCCAAACTCTCAAGGTAACATCTGCATCCTTCTTGCGGTGGATTATGTTTCAAAATGGGTGGAAGCTAAAGCCACAAAAACTGATGATGCAAAGGTGGTTGCAAATTTTCTCAAATCACACATATTTTCAAGGTTCGGAGTCCCTCGAATTTTAATAAGCGATCGAGGCACACATTTTTGTAATAAAATTGTGGGATCCCTACTAAAGAAATATGGTGTGACTCACAAGATCTCTACCGCTTACCACCCTCAAACCAATGGACAAGCGGAAACCTCAAACAGGGAGTTGAAATCTATACTCCAGAAAACGGTGAACCCGAACCGCAAAGATTGGAGTATACGCATTGATGATGCACTATGGGCATACCGAACCGCCTACAAAACTCCCAGCGGTATGTCCCCATATAGACTTGTGTTCGGCAAAGCTTGTCATCTTCCTGTAGAGCTTGAACACAAGTCATATTGGGCGGTAAAAGAATTCAACCTCAATCTTGACGAGACCGGTGTGCATAGGAAGCTCCAATTACAAGAGTTAGAAGAACTCCGCCTTGATTCTTATGACAATGCGGAAATATACAAAAGAAAAATGAAGGAGTGGCATTATAAAATGATTATAAGGAAGGACTTCCAAATTGATGATAAAGTCCTCTTATTTCAATCACGCCCTCGTTTATTTCCAGGAAAGCTGAGATCTCGTTGGACTGGACCATACAAAGTGGTCAAAACATATCCACACGGGGCGGTGGAAATTCAAGACCTGGAGACGGGAGAGGTGCTCAAGGTAAACGGACAGTTATTAAAACCTTTCTTTGAGGGTTTTCAACCCAAGAACATGGAAGTCATAGACCTTTCTGAACCGATCTATGAATGAGGAGCAATGGAAGATATCGTCGAGCCACGACGTTAAACAAAGCGCTTCTTGGGAGGCAAACCATGCAAGGTATGTTTTCTTTTAATTTTAAGTTGTATGTGTGTTAAATTTAAAAAAAAAAATTAAAGCCTGGGCACAAAACCCGGCCGGGTAAACCAAATACCCGGTCGGGTAAGAGGTTTAAAACGCAAGCCCGAACCAAAATAAACCCGCCGGGAAAACGTGTTTTAATAAAAAGGGAATAAACCCGATCGGGTATTTCAAAAACCCGACCGGGTAAAAAGGCGAAAAATAGTTCTGGTTTTCAAAAAATTAAAAATCATGCTTGATAGTAAGGCTATTAAGGTACCTATAATCCAAACACATTCTCCAACTCCCATCCTTCTTCTTTACTAATAACACCGGTGATGAGAAGGGGCTTTTACTAGGCTGAATCTCTCCAGTGGTTAAAAGTTCAGCTACTATCTTTTCTATTTCATCTTTTTGGCTGTGGGAGACCCTGTAGCGATATTGTTGTTTTGGCAGGCTTCCCGGCTTGAGTAATATCTGATGCTCAATACCCCTGGTAGGAGGTAAGGAACTGGGCTCTTCAAAGACATCTCCATACTCCTTCAATAGATCCTCCTGTACAACAAGTGAGTCAACCTCTGGTCCCTTTATTTTAACTACATATACTTCCTCTAATGAACTTGGTTTTTCTTCACATATCATTTTGTACAATGTTTGGTAGGTAATAATATGGCACTTTTCCTCACATTTAAGCTCAATCTGATCATCTCCTGAAGTGACTGTCACACTCATCTTCTTATAGTCATACTGTACTGGCGTAAGATCCCTAAGCCAGTCCCCTCCAAGTATTAGGTCAAACTCATTTGTGGAGAGGACCCTGAAGGTATAAATAAAAGTGTGTTGTTTCATATTCCATGCTAGGTTGGACACCTGAGATGTACAACTGAGTTGATTTCCTCCTGCAGTAGTGACCCTTAAGGGGGTGGAATCTTCCTCCTGGCAACTCAGTCTCTGTACTGTTGATTTGCTGATGAAACTCATGGATGCACCTGAGTCAATCACTATGTGCACTTTCTGCCTTCCAATCTGCCCCCAAAGTGACATGGTAGTAGCCCCCTTTATACTGTTGACAGCTCCTAAGGTCAGTAACCCCTCCTCTATGCATTCAGGTTCATCTTCTTTCGTTGACATTTCAGTAGGTGAAAAATCTGGATCCTCTTCTGTCAACAACAATACACATGCTTCTGCTTGCACCTATGCCCGGGAGTGAACTTATCATCACAATTAAACCATAACCCCTTTTCTCTTCCGGTTCCCATTTCTGCAGGTGTAAGAAGTTTGAAAGAAGGAGCCTGGTTTGTGGAAACAATGTTTGATCCTTTCTGGGTAGGTAAAGGTACTTCTACCTTCCTAGAAGGATTTGGTGGACCATAAGCTACCCTTCCTCCCATTTTAATCCTCTTAGTCAGGGTATCCAGTGCTAAAAGTTGATTTCTGACCAGATCAATAGCTGAATCCAAGGTAGTAGTCTTGAACATTTTAACAAAAGCTTACAATTCTTCAGAGAGTCCACTAATAAAGCTAGAGATAAAGTATTGTTCGTTAAACATCCCTGAATGTAATAATAGCATGCAGGATTTCAACCCTTCAAATTTTTTCACATAACTTTCATAATCATTACCCATCTTAAGTTTGTTAAAATCCTCAATGACTGTTGATTCCCTTAACCCCTCAAATCTGGATGAGATCACCCCCATAAATTGATCCCATGTTAAAAGGGTAATGTCATTTTCCAGGTGTTGATACCAGGATAGGGCCTTTCCATCAAAATGCATTATGGCTAAAGTAACATGTTGATCAGCAGGAATATGGGGCATCTGTAACACCCTACCCGAACCAGCCCCGCCGATCCGAGCAATGTGTCACGTGGTAGAAATCAAAACAGATTTGACCGAAAGACTTTTAATTATTTAGATAAAATTAAGTATTAAATAAAACATATTTATTAAAACGTCAATTTATTATTCAATACTAAAAAATATATCAAGTCGTCATAAATCACTTAATATTATACATCACAAAATATTTTATGATATGCGGAAGCGTTTACAAAACGAAAATGATCAATTAAGATTAAAGTCAAATTTGCTTTATTTTTATTTATTTTCAACAATACACACATGGTATGCACATGAATCCTACGCCACCGTCCATCCCAGTATCCTTATCTTAGCTGAGTCCACGTCAACCTACGGGTAGGAAAAAACAAACAACTACCCGCTCAGCAATGTGCTGAGTGGTACGGTACAAATAATAATACCAAATATATATATATAACAATAACAATGATAATAATTACTTATCAAATCACATAGCAACATACCATAATTAACATGTAGTCAACAAACATATAACATACCTGAGTGAACTGGATAACTGTTATAAAAATCAAGACACTTACATACAGACCAGAAGCATATTCAGATATCATAATTATCAAATAATTTTTATTCAGTTATATCATTAATAAAATAAATTCATTTTATCCTGTACTCAAGAAACTGGACCTAGACAGAGGAATACTAACGGTAAGGAATACGGTCACAAAGTCCATACCCACATTACCCAAAAAGGATATGGAAACGTAATCGCCGGAGCTACACGTACCAATCCCTAACAGGAGCTAGCTAAACAGAAAGGACGAGATCACCGAAGAGACTCGAACCTTAACAGAAGAGTAATAGTGTCCTAAAAAGATTTCAGGAGTGTACATGGTACACTAAACACGAGAACACTAATTCCTCTAAACAAAATTTCAGGAGTGTACATAGTACACTAAATAGACAGATCAGGAGTATTCGTGTCAGAGTGCCGGATTAAGAGCAGGACATTTGAGAAACATTTTTCTTTAGTTTGTTTACAATAAAAATATTGAGTTTAATATATCTTAAGTTTTAGGGTACTTTCCGGATGTCAGTATTTATAAATAAAACGTCACCCGAAGTTTTCTCATTAAACTTATAATCCACCTATCCTATTTTTTTTTATTTATTTCTAAAAAATTTAAGAGTTATTTTATACTCCGTATGTCCAATCATTTCCCTAGTTGATAATTAAAATATCTTAATGAGTTACCTTGACATTACGTGTGAATAGTAGTGCTCAGGACAATAATTATAAAGGCACACATTTATATGTATAGTGCTTAATTAATGCATGTAAATATAAGCCTTAGACGTATTATAATTTTACACACGTATGCATACATATATTTACTTAAGTCAACTACTCTTATCTATAGGAGTATATATTAATCATTTTCATGAACCCACAAGCTTTTGTAAATAATTTAATAGTATTTTTTTTTTAAAGACAAAATCTTGAATTTAGTCATACGTGCACTTATACATACATATTAATATATTCATATAATCGTAACTTATTGCATGTGAAAAACTAAATTACATAAATAAATAATTTTAAAGTATTTAGTCCTAGTGTTTACGTAGATAGAATAGCACATAATTAGTTATTTATATATGTTTATCCTTATATATACCTTATATATGAAGTATGAAAAAAAATGTTAAGCTTCTACAAATAATACGAATTACCCTACTTTCATCAATTATGAAGTGACTTATAGCTATATTTAACTGTATATGAGCATAAACCCTAGCAGGATTAATATAAAATTTTACAGGTTTATATATCATATAATGGAAATATGGAGACCATGAACTACATCATTTTTAATTAACTTAGTCGGTGGTTCATTTTATAATTTCCAATATATACATGCAGCTAAACTTTAGTTTCGTCAATTGAACTTTTTCATTTTATTTTCATTTACATATGAAGTATAATGAAATTTTCAATATTAGTTCTACTAGTATAAATTATGAACACATAGTTAATTAAGCATACAAACATTTCTAAGGCTAAATAATACTCATCATCCCCGTAACATATGAAACAGGGACGGAAATTATATTTACATAATAATATTAAAATATACATCAAATAAAACTGGGTTAGAAGTACTGACCTAGTACCTTAATGATTTTTGGATCAGAAGCTATATTCCTTCGGCTCGTTCCTACCTCTTCTACTTGTTCAATTCTTTCTTACTTAATATATAGGAGTATATTTTTAATAGTGGTTGACCGCATGTGTATGAAGTTTTGAGATAACCAAGAGTACCTATATATAGCCTTGATAAACCGTATAGTAGACAAAACAAAACTTGGCCAACATAATTATTGGAGAAACTATTCATTCAAGATTGATGAGACTAGTTGGCTTATTATTGTAGGTGTAAAATTTATTATGGAGTACATGAATTGACCTTAGGTGGCTGCCCATTCCTCATCAATTGAAGATATTTGACTATTATAATTTATTTTAGAATTGTCCAAATTGCTATTTAGATTAGCATGTAACTTCATGTAAGATTTGGGACACGTATTATTATTTTGTTCAAATTTGGTTTAAATGCCTTAGCCGATTACATGAATAAAATGTTAGATGTGAAATTTCTACAGTTTAGTTTACATCAATTATTTTACTACTAAATTTATCATCAATGTTTCTTTTTATTTATAAATCTATACTTTATAAATTTATGAAAATGTTTGATTTGATACAAAAATAATATCAAAAAGTTTATTCATATGTACCTTAACTACTAGATCAGATTTTGGGGCATTACAGCATCAGTTTAAAATGTCCTTGGCATTTGATCGTCCACGCACGAGAATTAGATCCATCAAATCTCGGAAAGTCCAACTTAGGGAAAGGAAGGTGGGATTGATTATTACCTGAGTTTCCATTGCTGCCAGATTTCTGATGTGATCTATCACCGTGCAGGTTATGTAGATCCATAGCAAAGGGTGGTTTTCCCAGTATTGATGGCTCTGTAGCAAAAGGATTATCATCCGGAAAACTGCTACCAGATCGGCCATTAACTTGGGGTGAGCTGGAAGATATCATAGGTTCTGTCCTGACCTCAATGGTTTCAATCCTTTTCTGAATATTTTCCAGCTGTCTAAGGATTTCCATCTGAATATCCTGGTTCCTGAACTGAATCTCCCCTTGCTTCTGTTTAGCGACATCTCGTTTCAGGATTTCAGCTATGAGAGATTGCTCAATCCTCTTTTGCCCGTCAAGGCATTCCTTCAGTCTGGTACCATCCGCCATCTTCCTGGATCAGAATAGCTCTGATACCAAATGTAATGGTTTTGGGCTGGTTTTGCAGAAGAACGCAAGAAATAGGGAGAGAAGAAGATTGAGTTAGTTAGAGACAGAGAGAGAAAAGATCATAGAGAGAGAATCATGCAATTACTTCTTGTATTCCTTTCTTTTCCTCCCCTCCATATATGTATGTTCGTACAGGATAATAAGAAACTACCCATAATTGTAATATGGGCCAATAACCATACTAAATTAAAATGGATAAATAGCAGTACTAAATTAAATGGGCCAAACACATATCTCTTCCCGCTTCATCTTTCAATTGAACTTCTCCGTCAGTAAACCTTTTCTCTTGAATCATGACACATTCTCACTTACTACCACGTTGTGCCTAATCATTCTTTTTATTGGTATAGTACATGGAAATTGTTTTGTGATTGCTTTTGTCACAATCCAATTTTGTTCATGAAGAAGTTGACCATCATCCTATCACTTCCCTACTTACCTTGTGGCAAATTAATTCAATTTTTGTGCTTCCTCCGTCCCAAATTGTATATTCTCGTTAATGTTTACGATGTTTGATCGATGATAAAGCAAACAGATCCCTGTTCGCACTCGAATTATCTAAAAAAAACAAATTATATATTCAGAAACTACATTAAAATTTTTACAATGTAGCAAAAAAGAGAATCAAATTTGATAAATATTTAATATTTAAAGTGAGAGATTAAGAATGATTTGTGTTGACCAAGTGAATAGGAACTCAGACTATCAAATTGGGACGAAGGTAGTACTATATTGCATATAAGGATGTTTACTTTTTGATTGAAATTTGTTGGTCTGGTCTGGTAAACGTCTGGTCTCTGTGTATTTTATATCTACGAAAGTCTGGTCTGGTCTGATTTGATCTGATCTGGTCTGATCTAGTTTGATCTGGAACTAAAAACAGTCCAAAAGAAAACATCCTAAAACAATTTGAAAAAATCTATTTCCTCATAATATCTATTTTTTGCCGTCTTTTTTTAATTTTAATGTGCACTACTCACATCTTATGAAGGATAACAAAAAAAACTTATTCTATTTTTGTAAATTTGAACAACAAATGAAAAAGTTATTACAATTCTAAAATTATAGTGAATTGCCATTTCACATGCACCAGCAGAAAACAAGCTTATAATGACACTTTGTTAGTGACACTTTTTAATATAGTGTCACTAAAATACGACATATTCTTTTTACGATGCATATGTATCATTAGTTTCTGACACAATAATATCATTATCACATAGTGACGTTCAGACTCTATTTTATTTTCTTTTAACATTATTTTATCATATTTTAACATCTAAAATTTCTTTTCTTTCTATGGTCTCTTAATCAACTTTAACATCATTTTAACTCTTTCTCACTCTTTCTCTTTTGTTTTTTGAGAAACTTTTCACTCTTTCTCTAGCCTGCGCGGATTACGTCGTCGGTCTGCCTGAAGCCTCGATGCCGCCGGCGGAGGAACTGGAACCGGTGACATGACAGGCGAAGATATCTTACGTGGCGGCTGTGCGGGACCCAGTCCCGGCCAACGACCGCACACACAGTCTTGCTCGTTTTCAGTTAAATCCCACACCGGAAATGTTTGAGTTAACGAAGTGCTATATTAAGACATGAGCTACTCCTCCTATCAGGTTGACCTTTTAGGATAGAAACCGGAGGTCTTAACATGGTATGAGAGCCAAATCCATCCATGTGTGGGCCCCCTTATGAAAAATGATTGATGCAATTATTAAAAAAATGACAATGATGAATTGACAAAAAATGAATGACGACACGATCCAGACGAAGAGTCTGGTCGTGAGGAGGGGTGTTAAATCCCACACCAGAAATGTTTGATTCAACAAAGTGCTATATTAAGACATGAACTACTCCTCCTATCAGGTTGACCTTTTAGGATGGAACCCCAAGTCTTAACATGTTAAATCCCACACCGGAAATGTTTGAGTTAACGAAGTGCTATATTAAGACATGAGCTACTCCTCCTATCAGGTTGACCTTTCAGAATGGAACCCCACATCTTAACAACAGGATCAATTCTATATGTAAGCTTGTACGTCCTGCACTATGGAAGGATTGTACTAAAGAAAATGAATCTTTTAAATAGGATTTCATTTTCACTTCTTCTTTTAGCATCAATGCTATCTGCACTTTGTTTTCTGTTTTTTTTTAAAAACTCTTCTTCAATAGCATCTGATGCTGCTATATGTGTGACTACTCTCAAAGGAGTTAGTACATCAGTTAAGGCTATAATAGACTTCACGGAGGAAGCTGATTTCATATTCAGAAAGAGCCATTGCTTTATGGGCTTTGCAGTATTCTTTTGTTTCATATTCATGTTCTACAAGCAAGCCCAAGCCCCAGTCCCAGCCCCAACTCCAGCCCCAGCCCCAACTCCAGCCCCAGACCCAGCCACAGCCCCAGCTCCAGCCCCTAAAGAGCCTGAAGCTGAAAACACATGAGGTAATGTTCGAGTTTCATTTGTGATTATCCAAAAAAAAAATCAGGGCAGTTCTGCAATAGCAATCGATGCAGCAATTTGGGTGGCTACTCTCAAAGAAGCCACTACAATCATTAAAGCTGTAACCAAACTTACGGAGGAAGCAGAATTCCCTTTCAACAAGAGCAATTTCTTGATGGGCTTTGAAGTACTTTTTCAGTCCTATTCATGTTCTGCAAGCAAGCCACATCCCCAGCCCCGGCCCCGGCCCCAACTCCAGCACCAGCCCCTAAAGAGCATGAAGTTGAAAACACATGAGGTAATTTCCGGGTTTCATTTGTGACTTTGTGTTCTATTAGTACATGAATGGACACCTACCATTCAAGAAAGTAAAATATAACTATGGTATTTGATGAAAATATGAAATAAGTAACCTCAGTATCAATCGAGCATTTCACGTGATGATGACAAATTTACAATAATTCAAAATAACTTTTAAGAAAATCAAACTATCACTTGTGTTCCTCCATCCCTGTTTAATGTTTTTGTATTCTTTAACCCTGCAACAGGGAAGATGCCGAGTAACCTAAATGTTTTGTCAAGTGTGATCTCTACTAGAAGGATCTATTGCTATTGGGCTTCCAGTGACAACAATAGCATATTTGTACACACTGAGTTTTGTTAGTGTTCCATCAATGACTTCAGTTTACAATTAATATGCCTAGAATAGCCAATATGTAATAGAATTATTAGAAACTTACTATTGTACTTTACATTACTCTCTTTAATATAAATATATCTGCCAGGGCTCATTAGGGAGTAACCTTTTCCATTATTCTCACATGGTATCAGAGCACATTAAAAAAAAATCGATTCTCTCTCCCACTAAACCATAGCGCCGCCGCCGTCCGTTCTTTCTGATGTCGCATTACCTACATCTATGTTACATAACCAAGAATTAAAATTTTAATTCTTAGGGAGTAACCTTTTCCATTATTCTCACATGGAATCAGAGCACATTAATTTTTTTTTATTCTCTCTCACTAAAACCTAGCGCCGCCGCCGTCCGTTCTTTCTGATGTCGCATTACGACTAACATAGCCTCACGCCAAACCCACTGCTCAAACTCAAGAAGATCATCAGGTTTCCATACCAGCATTTATCTTCAGAAGTTTTTATATCTTTTTGTTACAATATTCATTTTTCTTGGAATACACTATTTTTTATATGCAACAATGTTGTGCTGCACAAGGGGCGTTCTCATTTTTCCTTCAAATATGCTCATACAATCCTTAAGAAATATTCATCCAAGGTTGCCAAATTTTTTATTGCAGTAGCATCTGCTTTTCTATTTGGTCATAATTAATAATGAATTTCATTTTAGGAATCTCTATAGTGTTCTTGGATGAATATTGGCAACCTATATGATTAGAGTTTGCACCTACATGATTGGATTCTACACTATAGAATGATGAAACCAGTCAAACGATTGATCAGTTTTAAAGTTTGCACCTACATGAGATATGATAGTCTAAAACTCCAAAATATGAGTTGTATTTCTCTATAGAATTCTGCTACAAGTCAATGACTGATCTCAATGTCTTACTTACCTGAACAGGCCTTGAGTTTCACTCTTATCCAAAATGGAAGGATGGTCACATAAAGCAAGTACCTAACATACGAAAGCCTATCATCAAGTATTCCTAACAAAATATTCCTATGTTTCAGATTTTAAAACATTGACTTGTGCGCTGACCTCCCTAAAGAAAGTAATGGGCTGTTGGCCAAGGGATTGTGGATTGCCAATATTGCAATAAATTATCTGCAAATCTCAGCTGAGAAATGAATGCATAGGATATATATAAGATAACTAAATTAAGTAAAACAAATGTAGAAAGTCCCATCCCTATTCGATTAAGCAAAAGAAGAGATGTATCAAAGCATACATCTTTAAAGATTCAATACCTCATCAAATGGATGAGACCCTGGGTTTGAGTGTAGCTCTTCTTGTAGTTTCTGCCAATCAAAATCAGGAAGGGCTCTGAGATCCGAATAAATCATTATAACTATTTGAACTCTATAATAATTACCTGAGCAAGGTTGACGATTTCTCCACGAACAACATACTCACATTTCAAAACCTGGACAAAGGACAGCAACAATCATGTAAGTCAAATAATCAGAGGCAAGAATTTAGGTTCGTCAGTGTAAGGTCTCAATATCCAGCTCAGGTCTCGTCAATTTCACCCACAAAGGATGAAGAACCACTATAGTCTCAAGGTGGGGAAGTGTTGGCAACAACCTTCTAATTTCTTCCGGCCAAAACTACTTCACAAAGGGGTTGTGCGAGAATAGGGTTTTCCGCCGTACCCCTTAGCACCCGAAACCGGGAGATAAATAGGCAGTTCGAAGCAGAGAAGGTAAGATGCCATACAAGGAAAGCTTGAACAAGGAAAGTCTCAAATGGCGTAGAGGAGACGAGAAGGGAGGCGAACCACGAAGATGTAAAAAGACTAATGGACCGGGTAACCATTAGATGTAGGTTGGGCTTAAGAAAGAAATGGGCCAATACCTAACATATTCTCCACCTTATTGGACCATAGTGGCTTAGAGTAAAAAACTCTAACACAAACATGAGACTCATCATCGCTGGATTGCCCGAATGATCACAAAGACACATTCAGGCAAAAGGGGTAAGA